TCCCCCCTCCAAATCGAAAGCAAAAAAAAACAATTCTAAAACATTAATTAGCAAATTTTGTCATAAAGTGTTTCAAAATGATCTCTGCGCTAGACTAAGAAATATTTTTTACATCTATTCATAAGATTTATCCCCTCCCCCCCAAAAAACAGTTTAACTACAGTAGATGAGTTTCTTTTTTTTTTCCTTATGTTTTGCGACTTTAAGTTAAAGCAGAACTTGAGGCAAATATAAATAAACTTTTTTTTTATCTGGTTATGTAGGAATTCAAAAATTAAATTACATTTTAAATACTGCTAATCTAACAACCTGGATTGTGTCTTTGTGTTAGCTTTCCATAATGCCCATGTGCACCAGAAGTTAGAGTGGGCGGGCTTACAGTGGGGGAAGAGCACAGGGTTGGCTCTTTGTAAGCCTGGCCGAGTGGGAGGGATTAGAGGGGAAGAGCACAGGGTTGGCCTGTTGTAAGCCTGGCCCAAGTGGGCGGGCTTACAGTGGGGAAGAGCACAGCGTTGGCTCATTGGCCCACTGTAAGCCTGGCCCGAGTGGGCGGGATTAGAGTGGAAAAGCACAGGGCTGGCCTGTTGTAAACCCGGTCCAAGTGGGTGGGCTTATAGCGGTGAAGAGCACAGGGTTGGCTCTTTGTAAGCCTGGCCCAAGTGGGTGGGATTAGAAGGGAAGAGCACAGGGTTGGCCTATTGTAAGCCCCGGCCCAAGTGGGCTGGCTTACAGCGGGGAAGAGCACAGGGTTGGCTCGTTGGCCCACTGTAAGCCTGGCCTGAGTAGGTGGGATTAGAAGGGAAGAGCACATGCTTAGCCCGTGGCAGGGTAGTGATGCTGATTCCAGACCAATGGGCAGGCCCGGAGGCAGGAAGATTACACAGGAAGTTGAACTAGTGAACAAAAGGCATCACCTGCTTGGCTATAATATGGTGGCAAGGGTGTAAACTGCAAATCTAACTGAACAGATTTACAATTCTTTTGGCCACAGTTCCTATAATATGCCTTGGAACTGTGTATAATGCTGCTCGGCCGCAGTTCTGCTTTACATATTAACAAGCTTAACAAAATTTACAACAATAATCTGAGCAAAATGCCTTTAACCCAAAAAAACAGAAGTACAGGGAACGCTCCCGCCATGGCAAATAAAGGAATCTTCAAATATATTTACAGCGATGTAGAAGAAAAGCGAGAGATATGACAAAACACAGAATATTGCAAAGAAAATAATTAACAGAATAAAAACAGAAACATTTAGTGATGGCGGGATCGGTGTGAGCGCACGGGCTCGGTTTTGCTTCAGGTCAGAAAAGGAATAAAGCTTTTCACAGGGGCGAGCAATACTCGAGCCTTAGAACTGGAATATCTGCCCCAGAACTGGCCATGTAACGCTACTCTAAAGCAATGATTAATTTTTTCTGTGGGAAACATAAAACCGTTATAAGGTCCCCAATGCCTTAACAGTCAGGCACATGTGAAAGAATAAAAATAAAATATAATAATTTAAAAAAATATTATTAGGACTTTGATAACAGGTCACTCCTTGAGCAGGTCTGGAACCTGGAAAGAACGCTTTGGTCCAAAGGGAGCTCTATACAAAGCTGTGCTGCTGGTTAGCATAATACAGTAAAGTGGGCCGCCACTGACACACATTACACAGTTCTGCATATGTCTGCTGCCTCCTATTTTATGGGACGGAAAGGAGAAAATTTTGTATATTTAGGGACTTCTATTATTTATCAATATCCTTAAATGGACCTATACTCTGTTAGCACTCGGTGGGATGAATAAAGAATTAGAGAAGGGCTTAAACACTTACTTCGCAGGCGGCTGAAGGCCCTACAAGCACCACTCAGACTGAAATTGGGGCAGTCTAGACCAGGGGTAGCCAAACTACGGCCCTCCAGCTGTGGTGGAACTACAAATCCCATGAGGCATTGCAAGATTCTCACAGCCAAGACTCCCAGGGAGAGATGCATCATGGGATTTGTAGTTTCACCACAGCTGGAGGGCCGGAGTTTGGCTACCTCTGGTCTAGACACTTAGTCATATGATCTCTGCGGAGGTTCAACCAAGCTGACCTCCGATCCTACTCCTTCAACAGAGATCACATGCCAAGTAGCCCAGAGAAGCATTTTCTCCAGGAAAGGTGCACATTTCAGTGCTTCAATTACTCCTTTATTCATCCCAGCAAAGCTGCTGCTGTAGTTTATGGGAACATCTTAACACGGGTTCACTTTAAAGTTCTCAAAACGGCAACTGCTAAAAAATACAGCGAAGGAATTCTCTCGAAAATACAAATGGCTGTATCTCAGAAGCCCGTAGCACTCAGTGAATGCATTGGAAAAGGTTTCAAAATGTCAGGTGCCAATTGGCATTTTTGGGGCATCGTTCCTAGAACCTTTCACCCCCTCCTCCCAAAATACCTCTGACAAGTTCAAGGGTAACTAACTTTGGAAAGCTGTAACAATACTGAACTATGTTTGGTTATATTTAACACTGATGCCAGTTTTGGTCCCACTGGCCATAACCATCCATATTTAAGATGCACAATGACTGCGATAATCTTTATCTCTCAGACTCCAATGAGATTTCACTGTCACAGTTTATGGTTCAGCTCTCTACCAGTAACTGGATGGCATTGGAAGTTCTGGTTGCACGTTGGAGTACCTGGGAGATACTGGAAGCCAATATAACTCAACATCCCAGTGACCATGCAAAATTGAAATGCCACCTCTCGCCCCTGGGGGTACATGGATACATCAAATGACTTTGCTGCAATACAATCTCACCCATCTACTAACGCAATGAAAGCCATTCTTCAACTGAATATCCTAACTTCAACTGAGCTCCCTCTGAGCCTAACCTGTGACACATTCAATTAAACACTGACCGGCACTAACTTGCTCTTGGCTTGGTGGAAGCACGCCCGAACTCACCAACACCTACTTTTCCAAGTACAATTACAAACTCCGACAGAGTAACATAGCAAAGTCTTTGCTAAATAAACCCGAAGTGTCTTGGATTCCAAAACTGGAGGTAAGGAAAATATGCTCTCTATAAAACTTTCCTGCCGTCATTCTTCTGCAGCAATCAGAACATAAATGGCAACCTCAATTTGGTTTCTATAGGGAATTCAGTCCCATTAACTCTCCTCCAGTTTTTGTACATAAGGACTTTACTGGGCCAAACCATGGCCAATATTATGAAGAATTAAACTTACAAGTTAATGCTGATGTGGCAGTGACCCAAGAAAAACAAAATCTTTGAGGGTCATGAGTTTCAATAGTCACCCATCAGCTGGGTGAGAACCATTACCACAAGGTAAGGTAGGATGCCACATATAGTTAGAGGATAGACATTACATTATTCCACCAGTGCCCAACTGTCCCCTTAGTATGGTGGTACATTTCTAATCTGCAAATCCCAAGATTTACCAGGAGTTTACCAAACCCATTATTTTTTTTTAGAATTTCTAAACTGATTACTACTCAGCTTAAATAACCTTATTTGATGACGGGGCACCTCCATTTCACCAACATGGGAGAGCCCTTGAAATTTCGGTAGTCACCATATTCAAAACTGGGATCAACGTGTCCTTGTACTGTGCTTTAATCTGCAAAGCCAAGCTACCCCCTGGATACTAGGATTCATAAAGTGCCCAATGGTGACGATTTCCTTTCTGCACGGTGCCAGTGATCACCACAACTTTCCCATGCCAATACCAAGTTTGTTGGTCAGTATTTGCACAAGTTTAATCCTGCTCCTAATGTGACACTGCTCTGTCCTGGTGTGCTCTGGTCTAAGCACAGGATACGGGGGGGGGGGGGGCATGTCTACTCTCCCAAGAATTGGGAATGTGTGGCTTTTGTAAAAGAGCTGGTGGCACCACCAGCCACCCGATATTACCTGGTGTCTAGGATATAGCCCTGCTTAGTAGATTTAGGCGGCATACAGGTTTGCTTTAAGCACTGTTCTAAAGTGTGACTTTATCAAGTCGTTACTTCTGGGAGTAAATTTTGCAAAACGTGGATAAAAATGTAAAACGACCATGGTGCACTGCAAATAAAAGTTCAGTTGGGGCTACTGAGGGCCATCTTAGAATGCTCACTAACTACGGTAAGAAAGTGACTATCACTTAAACTATATTACAGCATACTGTAAAGACCAAGTCTAACCAAAAAAAGCTCACCCTCATTTTAAATTGTGCAATGCGTAATAACCTGTCATCCGGTTTTGTTTTTTTTAAAAAACAAAAAATGTCCCATTGTCATCGTCAGCTGAAATTTCAAACAGGGCTCAAAGCTGGAGTACCTTTACAGTGTTCCTATAAGAGACACAAAAGTGCAGAGAAGGACTGAATGACAAATTCAAATCCGCAGTGTCTGTTTAATGAACAGGAGCCATACCAGCTTCTGCCGCGGTGGGAGGGGCATCACTGACAGAGATCAGGCATTGCTTAAGAAGAGCGAACAGAAACTGTAACAGGTTTAGACAATGTCTCCGTCATACAGACGATCAGGGGAATACTGGTAGGAATGAAGGTATAAATTGACCATTATATCTGAGTTTAAAGGCCATTTTTCTTTTTTTTTTTAACAGGGGCACCTCTTTTATTATTTAATTTTGGAGGTTTAGGTACGACCCAAACCTTCTGACTACATGACCAGCGCTTGAACAGAAGCTTTTGTTTGCCGAGCGGAGATGAATCGTGTATAGACTGCTGTACAGGTCAAGGCACTTTGCTATAGCCTGAAAAATACAACCAACCCAATGCAAAATTAGAACTGTAAAATGCATAGCAGTAAAAAAAAAGTTTAAAAACAAAAAAAGGATAAAATAAAGTTACAGAGCGAACGCTATTAAGACTTTGTAAGAAGGGCAGCAAGCCGAGGAGATGACATTAAAACAAAAGGGAACTCGGGTCTTTAGAATAAAGAACATCGTCTCTTTGGAAAAAAAAGAAAAGCGAAGGTGAGCGTTATGCGTAGGGCCCCCACCCAGGGCTCATTTCATGGCAGGTGCCGACCGATCGTTGCTGATTGTTTTTCTGAGCCTCACTCCCCGCCTGATCATTGACAGCATATCGTCCTCAGACGAGATCTGCTCAGAACTGATATAAACTTGATTATCTATGCTGATCGCTTCCGGCAGGGCACTTGGAACCACTGAATTGTTGACTGGTGTGTAATCTACTGTGACGGAACTGCTTCCAGACACCTTCTGTGCATTTTGTGGCAGCGGATTAATACTTTGAGAACAGCTGTATGATTGCTTGGGGATGAAGGCACAATACGCGTTCTGTATAGCATTGAGGCTTTGAGCTGAGCCACACAGACCTTGCCTGACGTGGGAGAAATCGGACCTTGGATCCTGAAGATAAGAGAATCTTTCAATGTGTGTCCTCTCTCCAAATGGGCTTACTGCAGCATCTGGTAACGTTGGGGTCTTAACAGGCACCACAGGAGTCCGGATAGGAATGGGAACGCCGCTGACGGTTCCTCTTCTCACAGGTGGCTTGTTGGAGGGGTTTCTCTTTATGGTGGCGATATGCGGAGAACGCACCAGCGGGTCGGGCTCAGCTAGAAGGCTAACAGTAGAAGCAGGCCTCTTCGCTTGGAACATTCTTCTGTAATTCTGGCTTATGTCACTGTTTCTCGGAATAGTAGATGACTTGTCGAAGTCCAGTTGGTCCGTCTCTACTTGTTCGCCATGTAAGGAGATGTAATCGTAATCTGCAACTAAGGAGAGACGGAGAAGTTACAAGCACGAACACCGCCAAATGAACTACTTTACAAAATTAAAACCATATGAGCTAAAAGGGATTATAAAATCAGCACCAAATGTATCCAGAAACATTTTTTCTGAAGCTGAAATGCATCTTGGGACAAATGTTGACCACTTTCAACAAACCAGGGTTATTGAAAATATGAGGATGTGGTTTGTAATGGGTGAACTTAACGGACATTTGTCTTTTTTCCTCCTTTGTATCCATATATCCTATGTACCCATATATCAGAACTGCCCTCCTACCACCTATAGTTTACATTAAGCTCAACCTTACAACTATGATCTCCAGAAAAAGGATGCCGGGGACTGAGCTACATGATGTTCTTTGTATCAGCGAGACTCCGAATGAGTGGCAGAAGGCACAGCGTTGCTAAGCCCTCCAACATTCTCCTTTCTTCAAGACCAGCAATTTTGCATTTTACTGCCATATAATCTGACCAATTAGGATGAACAGAAGGCTTTGGTGGGGACTGGAGCTTGATCAGAGGGAATTCTAAGGTTCTGACGAAGTGGAGAACTCTAGTCTCAGTATAGCAGTTAGGCTTCTCAGAAACCAGGTTTACTCTCTACACGATGAGGGACCTTGGATGAAAACATGAAGTGTAGATGAAAAGCAGCTTCAAGAAGAATAAACTTGTAAGACGGTTATGTGCAAATGATAGTCAATTAAGTGTTGACAACCAACGCATCTCAGGGGTAATAAGATCTCCCATTTTCAGGGCTTCAATGAAATACAACAACTGCAGAAATGGTCTGTAGTACTAAAAGACACCTTGGCATCTCACCAAATTAAGACTTTGGCAATGGAAATGCAGGCAAACACTGAGACTGATCCTAAAGCTGCTGATCATTACACTGCCAAGTCCATCACTCTCCTTTTCGTCGATGCCCTGAGGAAGGGAGGGATTGTTACCCCTAGTTCTGGCTATCAACTCATAAATAAAAATGTATCATTTGCACTTCACTACCAATTTCTGGTACTCCCTTTCTTCTACACTTCAAATAGGATGAACGCCATTTAATGACTGCTGATGTATCTGAACTGTTCTGTTTTGGAATGAAGACATGTGCGCACACATCCACTGCAGCCTTTGCCTACCATAGTAGCCCTACAAGCTTCAGCCCATCTTATATGTTCAAAGTAGTGATGGTGCAAACCTGATGCCCTAATCCTTTCTGCGTTCCACCGTTTGCTGCATGTTGGCTGCACAAGGTTCCTCAGCTTAAACAAGAGGGGCAAGTGTAGAGATTAGCGTTCCTATAGCAGAAGGTACAAAACCAGTTCATACAGGAGCCCAATTGTTTCCAGCAGAGAAACAAAAGGTCTCTGTGTCGCTTATGAGACTAGAGTAAAGGGGAGCTCCCATCTTAAAACACAGAGCAGTCAGATCTAGGAACCTTGTTTAAATTTAGAGAAGACTACCCCTTGAGCTGACATTTTAAAGGGCATGTCCACCTTTAAAGGCAATAAATTGAAAAAAAAAAAAATCAGAGCACTGTTCCAAATCTAAACCATTCCGCTCTGATTTGTGTAACTATTGTTTTTAAGAGAAGAAAACTAGACACGCAAAGGAGCAAGTACAATGTTTTTAAAATTATCATTCCCCATCTCAAGCTGTCCATTCTAACCAGTGAAAGCATAACATTAGCAAAAGCACACAAAGAAAATCTGTGACAGCAAAGGCTCCATTAACGGACTTTGACAAGCGGAAGAAAGGGAGATTGACTTTCTGCAGTCTTGTAGAAATCACAAGGACAAGGCATCATAATACTAGGTAAATTCTAGTGTTGACAGCCCAATCACCCACAATGAAAGCTTGGGGAGGGGGGGAGTGGTGGCAAGACAAAGGTCAGTTAAACAAGAAGCATTATCTACTACATAAACCTATATACACAAAACACGGACACGGGGACTTCAAAGCCAGGTGCTCCCCTAAAGGCAGGAATTATTTGTCACTTCTAATTGGTCAGGATCCTGCAAGTGTCATCTTCTCAGGCAAATTAGCAAACTAATTAACCAATGGGAGACTGACTATGCCTGCTAGGGCTAATGCAGTCAATTCTTAGAAGCCTGCATCTACCTCAGGTCTGGGGTTCAGGTCTACCGAGCTGCCACTTACACCCAGCAATGTAAACTATGGAGCTCTGAACACACATCAATGGAATCGAATAGACAACCTGGTTGAGGACAATATTTTCTTTGAATGGGAGTGTTTTTGGTACACATCGCTGCCACACGAAACAGGCACAACACCAAGTCATACATGATTGGAGCAGCTCAGTCCAATCTAATTAAAAAGCAGATTCTTACCAAAAAGAGAGGGGTCCTTCTTTAATGCTGTGGAAAGAATGCACATATGTTGGTTGAGAGAGAATGAAGGAACTTATCAACTAGATGAGTACAATATGCCCTCTGTGAAGCACAACCCCTTCTAAGATGGAGAAATCTACTCCACTGTGAGATGGACTATAGCACCTCACATGGTACACTACTGGGTGGAATCTTATCTAAATACATGTAGTTCTCTGAACACAAAGAAAAATCTAAACTTTACTTTCTGAAATATTATATTTATCAGATTATTGTGACTCATTTCCATAGTCGATTCCCTCCTACGCTATATGGCCAAAAGTTTGTTGTACATCCGATTCCAAAACCATGGGCATTAATATGGAGTACCATCCCTTCCTTTGCAGCTGCGATGGCCTCCACTTTTCTGGGAAGGCTTTCCTGAAGATTTTGTAGTGTGTCTGTGGGAATCTGTGCCAAAAAACACATTTGTGAGGTCTAGTATGGATGTTGGATGAGAAGTCCTGGCACACAATCTGTGTTTCAATTGATCCCCAAGGTGTTCGGTAGGGTTGAGGTCAGGAGTCTGTGCAGGCCCTCAAGTTGCCCCACACCAAACTCACCAAAGCATGTCTTTATGGAGCTGGGGCACAGCCATGCTAGAACAGAAAAGGGCCTTCCCCGTACTGTTACCACCAGGTGGGAACCCCGCAATTGTCTAAAATGTAATTGTATGCTGTAGTAGTAACCGTACCTTTCACTCATGAACTTACTTATCTGCAGGGGTGTCCAACAACTTTTGGCTTTATAGTGTATGTATGGTATCCAACAACTTTTGGCCACGTAGAGTGTGTGAGTGTGAATATATATATATAATCCTTGTTCAAAATCGGTCTTCCCATCAACCTGACCCACCCTTCGTAACAAAGCCACTTGTTTCTACCTTTACAGCACTACCCATTCGGCTGCTCTCTTGCCCGTAAAAACTGGTACTTTTTAGTGTGAGCAACATGTGGACATTCTCCCTGCCTACCACTGTGCTGTGCTAGTGGCCTAAGCAACCTCTTTACTGCACATGCCCAGTGCAGGTTTACCGTTAATGTGTTCACTGCACCAGATGGAAGAGAGTGAAATATGCAGCAGGAATAATGCTCAGGACATGTTTCTATGGTCAAAGTAGCTTATTGATGGTCTTGTTAAAATTTGCACTGTGTGTGGCCCTGTCAGCATCCCCCCACCTCCCTTCAACATAACTCGATATTTCGATTGACTTTTGTAAAGGAAACCGATCTGAAAATACTTGGACAGACAATGTCTGCATACAATGAGATGTAGGCGCTGATCAGGTATTCAACAGTCACTGCTAAAAAACAATGGGAAAGGGAATCGATTCTTCCCTCCACACTGTTTACTCAGTACCTCCCAAAATCCAGTATTAGCTGTCCTTAAAACAACGCTGGTCAAAACTGCTAGAAGATCCCTTATAGGCTGGTGACACCACACTACGCTTATAGCACAGGAAAATGCACTTTTTGCATTGAAGAAATAGAAAATGTATTGATGGATCTCATTCACACCAGATACAATAAGCTTTCATGTGTGCAGTATTTTGGATCCACTGAATGGGGTCATTCAGCACATATTCTGGGCCCTCCTCAAACCTATATAAATCCCATCTAAAATGTGAATGTCTTAATAAGCACTGATCGCTTGCATCTGGAGTGAGTGTAGCCAATAAACAGAAGCAGCTCTTAATTAAAAGTCCCACCTTTATTAAAAGAAAACCCCATTCTCATCAAAAACAAATCAAACATCTTCTTGTGTACAGCGGCTTCAATGTAACATTATTTTGGTAATCGTCTACATTACATTTGACCTTTATCACTCACCATGAGAGGGAATGGTGTCATCGGAGCATGACGGGGTGGTGGTTTGTGTGCTGTATCCGCTCGAGCAGTGCAAAGAGTCCCGGCTGAGTTGTATTTCTGAGTTCAAACCTTGACTTAAAGCCAAGGCTAGATGTTCCCGTGGAATTTTGGGCTAAAAGGAAAAAATTAGAGGGGTCACATATCTCAAGACCTGATTAAGTAAAAGTAATCATTAGGCCACGTAGAAAACACTGGCATCAAAAAGTTCTTGTCTTTAAACTTAGACCCATACAGTCGCCTAGAAAACAGCTTCCATGGAAGCTGATCTGCAGGCTAATATCCAAATACACAACTGAAGTAGATATAATTGGGTGGGTTTATCTGCCAAATAATTTGTATTTCTGTCCATCCGGTTGTGAAAACCACAGAGCTTGGACAGACAGCACAGCCAGGCTGCTGACCTGACTATTCTTTGCTGCAGTTAAGCAAAACAGCTAGGTCACCTTCCCACCCCCTGCAAGTGATTGGACAGTAAAAGGGCAACAGACTACTGAACTCCCTCCCCACATCAGCATGCTCCTTGCCAGCACATTTGCATGCAGCACCTCTGACTTCTCATGCTGCCCTTCCCTCACCCAGGCTGAGCTCTGCTGTATAAAAGGATTACAAAACCGAACATAGCAAGTAAAATACAAGCATTTATTCATTAAATCGAAATGAATCCAGCCCGACGTTTGGCTTTAAAAGACAGAAAAAAATAAATAAATATAGATTTTAGAAGCTTACTTTAGCCATGACCGCGGGAGGTGGTAGCCGAAATCCATCGTTGGTCTGGTTTGGTTTTCCGTTCTCCTCAGTTGGACTACTAGAGGCAGACTGTGCCATCATCTGTGCATTGATGCTCAACTTGGGATCCTACAGAGAGATTTATTGTGTGAATACATTCTGTTCAATGTATGTGCATTTGGCTTGCAAGGGCCGCTTTATATGACCAAAATATTCAGCAATATAAAAAAAAAGAAACTTCAAATAAAAACAATAATAATGTCTAAAGAAATGGAGGTGGAGAAATTTGCAGTGTTTTCTCACAAGGGTGGTCAGTGGAAAAATACCCGCTTATGTAGGTCAGTTGAGACGTGCCCACTTATTTTGGTGGCCAGTGAGATGGCCCTTTAAAGTGGTTGTCAGTAAATTGCTCCCTCAAATTGGTGGCCAGTGTCAGTGGGAACAGGCTACCTTACATTGGTGGCCATTGGGAGAAGGGCCCCCTTACACTTTTGGTCAACGGGAAAAATACCCAGCTAACATTTGTGGTCAGTGGGAAGAATGTCTCCCTTACACTATTTGACAGTGGGAAGAATGTCTCCCTTACACTGGTTGACAGTGGGAAGAATGCCCCCCCTTACATTGATGGTCAGTGGCAAGAATGCCCTCCTTACATTGATGGTCAGTGGCAAGAATGCCCACTTATATTGATGGTTGGTGGCAAGAATGCCCCCCTCACATTGATGGTCAGTGGGAAGAACGCTCCTTACATTGATGGTCAGAGGGAAGAATCCTCCCCTTAAATTGGTGGTTAGTGGGGAAAAATGCCCCTTTCATTGGTTGCTAAGACGAATACCCCCCTCTGTTTGTCACTGGGACAAATGCCCCCCCTTACATTGGTTAGTGGGAAGAATGCCCTCTTACATTGGTCAGTGGTATAATGTCCCCTTTACAGGTAGCTAAAAAGATCAATGTTGTCATTGATATTTGAGTGTCAGAAATTGCCTGGGGCTCCACAGATCCCGGGTTGAGAAAGTCTGAATGAGATTTTACAGTCCCCAATCCAGAATATGGCTGGGCTTAATTTTGATGGTAAACCCTGATGAAAATAGTTTCCTGTACGAGAAAACACACAGTATTATTAGGAGAGAGAAAAATAAAATGAAAGAACACACCAGCGAGGCGTGGAATCCTTTGTTCAAGGGGCAAGTGTCAAGTGAGGCTTCATGTGAAGCACTTCCCTTACTGGTGCGTTCTAATACTACACCTGAGTGTTTGTTGGCAGTGTGAGCAGCGGAGGAAGCGTCTGTCAGGTCAAGTGCTTTTAAGGCCTTCTCACAGACAGAATGGAGAGATTCATATCTATAGAGAGCTCTGTGTTTTTAACCATCAGTGCATGCGAGGTTGGTATTAACAGTATGAACAAAGCAGGGCAGAACTATTACCGCAGAATGAACGATGAAAGATCATACGGATTTTACCTTCATCGAGGCCAAATGTCTGTTAGCAGATGTGGAATTGTTAAATGAATGGTGATGACCTACAGGAATAGTGATGGAAACCCTAACTGAAGAGACATTTGGTTTGCTATATCACTTTGTATCATAACCAATTTCCTTTTTTTAAATAGAATGCACGTTCTTTCCATCTTTCTCTGCACATCAGTCCTTCAGATCTCTTGCAGCCTCTTCCTGCTTACATGCATTCCAGCAACGGCTGCATGGTATTTTTCAGGATGGGTTTCTCAATGGTCACTAGCGATATCCTTGGGTTTGGACCGAATCCAAGTTCATCTGAACCCAGAAGGAAGCTGTCGGTGCCAGCCCAAAAAGCTGCGGACAGGTTATTTCCAGCCCCACAGCTGCAGGTAAACAAAGAGGGGGAATGCTGGTGACCTCACTGAGCTTATATGACCACATGGTCATATTTGGTTGATGCCACTGACCAAAAATGGCCACAAAAGGTCACCGATGTCACCAGCATCCTGTCCTTTTGTGTAAGTGCAACTGCAGGGCTGGGAATGCCCTGGCCGCAACTGATTGGGCTGGCGCCGACAGCTTCCTTCTGGGTTCACTCCGAACCCAAGCTTATCCCCCTAAAGGTGTCACAAGTGGACTATAACTGCTACTCTAACTATAAAGTAATTGAACTCTCACCTGAAACATGGTCTCCAGCATCATGGTAGATGGTGGACGAATATGAAGGGTTTCCATTGAGCTTGAGATTGAGTCCATAGATGGAACATGTCTCATCGATCCATGCATATAGCTAATAACAAGGGAAAAACAAACAAAAAAATTAAGCTAGATGGCATTACATAGAAAACATGAACATTTAACAGTCATAAAAGCTGAGTGGATAATGTAATTTACAATTAAAACAATTATCTGTGTTTTGATTTCTTTCCTGTGCAGATCACATTGACTCAGTTCGGCATTCAATAGATGCCAAAATGTTAGGACAGTCCATCATTATCTTCTGATCATGTGATGTTTGTGAGCATTCATCTCTCTATTTACCAGCCCAGGTATGCAACCTGTAATCTCTTTGGCCCAGGAAGATTTCACTTGACTTGTGATTTCTTTGACGGGTAACAAATACCTGGAGGTAGGAATGCACCAAAATTTCGTCCAAAACTAATAACATGGGCAAAATGCCGACAGTACCATAATGGACAAAAATGCTGCCAAAAATTCACTGCGTCCCTAGCTTCTCTCCTCCTCAATGGGCACCGGTCTGTGTCCCCCTCTGATGCCTGCAGCTTTCACCCACTTGTGTCGGCAGAGGAGATCCGAGAGAACACAGAGGATCCAGCTTCAGGCGCCGAGAGGGGAGGAGAGAAGCTCTCAGGATGCCCAGCAGGGAGGCGAGAGAGCTGTCACAGGAGGCCGAGCTCTCTTATCGCATGGCCTCCTGTCACACGCGGAGGAGTTAGGATGGAGAGCGGAGTAGAAACACTCAGCGATCAGAACTGATCCCTGAGTGTTTGTAAATAACTGAGGACATAGTATGCTTACTGTCTCCACACAGTTATGAATGAACAGGAAGTACTCTACATCACATCCTGTTCATTCCTGATTGTGGACATCGTACTATTACTATGTGGACATAGTTACTATTTCCACAGTTTATGAATGAACAGGAACACTCAGTATATAGCAGTGGTTCTCAACCTGTGTAACCTCGGGGCCCACATTTGTCCTCGGTCATTAAGTCGTGACCCAAGTTGCTCTGCAATGTTCCATGTTGCAGTACTGCGCTTTCCGGTGCAGGCGATTGAACTGTGGGTGGGAGGTGCGTTTGGGTTGCCATTACGGAAACTGGAGCGGATCCTCAACCTGGGGTCCAGTGTGGGCTGCTGTGCTGTGATGGAGCTCCATCCATATGTGTATTGCTTGCAAAGCTCCCGTGCGCACCCGTAGAGGTTCTGGGAGCCAGAATGTGATGAGCTGCAAGCAATGCACATATGAATGGAGCTCCCTCGCCGCCATAGCCCCACCCCACCTCAAGTCAACACTCGGCACCGGGCATCATATTTTTGAATGGCTGCTCTGTGCGAGAACTGACCATGCTTCTCTAGAGGGAGGTTGAGGATCTTCTCACCTAGAAAAGTGGAAGGCATGTGGCGACCCACTTTTGGGTCACGACCCACCAGTTAAGAACCAAGGGTATAGAGGCTTCCTGTTCATTTATAACAGGGGCTGCAGAAGAAGAGATTTAGGACTCTGTGTTCTCAATCTCTTTTTCTACATTTTAAAAAGAGAAATATCAGGGGTCTGTTTAGACCCCTGAAATTTCCCTTTAGCCCCTAACAGTAAAGAAAAAATAAATAAATAAAAACAAGAAGCTTTAAAGATTTTAAAAATAAATGTAACTTTTTAAAGAGGTTGGGGAAAAAAAATACATTATCTGTTTCAGCCTGACAAAATTTATATTTTCTGTTTCGGGCTAAACATTTTATTTCGGTGCATCCCTACCTAGAGGTGTAACATTTTACTTTGCATGCATGTATTCCATTATCATGAACAGATCTAACTGATGCTAGGTCCACTTTAAAGGGTTTTTCTGCCCAGATATTTTAGTTATGAGTGGAGAGTCTGCATTGTGCACTACTTTGCTGAAAGCAACAACCTCAATTATCCTGCTGCAATCACTCTACATTGTGAACACTTTCTGTAACAGCCATAACAAGTGGGCGGGGCTGGGAACTCAGGGAAAATCTGCTGTAGCCCATGGCACTGATGAAAACGTAATTTACCACGGCCTACTTAAACCCAAAATATCAGCTGCATTGGCCATTTTAAGAACTGGCAGCCACTCGCCAAAAGCACATACATCTGACATGGGTGACAATACCCTCTGTGTAATACAAAACCACTGATCCCTAACAAGGGAGCTTTGACTGCAACAAATCCTGGGAATCCCCCAAACAATGGATTATTATTCCATATAGTGAAAAACCTTTTCTATCGGAATGTAAAAGTAGCCGGCACCAGGGAATGGGGGAAATTGGATAGCGCGGCAAAGCTACGCAGATTTGACCTACAGTACCCTCTATTGATTGGGTAATGTAAGCTACCTCTTATGCAGAGAGGCCGGGGCATTGTGGGTAATGAAGAGATATTGATAGCAGTGTAAAGTTACAGAGGGTTAGAAGAGGAGACTATACGGACTTGTCTGTGAAAGGCTCTGCTGATGTAACTCTATCCAGTGTGCAATAGCTGCTGATGAGACACAAACGAGCGATTATGCCAGAAACGCTTTGCCTTACAAGGGTGAGCACAATACCCGAACCGTCCACTAGGTGTCACCCTTATTCTTTGGTTACATGACGCTACCTGCGGATCTACTGCTAGATGGAGAGTCACAAATCCCAGCACGGCTAAACATGCCTTGTGGGGACAGCAGCTCCCATAGTTCCACTGCATTGTCAATGGACAGCTGGGACTTCAGGATCAAACATTGGTAAATGCATTAGGTGATTTATAGTCCAACTGTAGTTTAAAGCTGACCTCCGGGATAAGCAAATTCTAAATACAAGAGCCATGTGTATTCTTAGTGAACTTCGTGTAATTCTTCCAGATCTGTGCAGTAATCCAGTGTGAGACATGGAGCTTCCTGTAATAAAGACTGCTCAGGGCTGCTCTCTCTCCTTGTGCAGGGTGACTGGTCTAGTCTCCAGCCCCTCCTGTAATAAAGACCACTAACTGCTGCTCTCGCTCTCCTTGTGCAGGGTGACTGGTCTTGTCTTCCCCCTCTCATGTAATAAAGACCGCTCACTGCTGCTCTCTCCTTGTGCAGAGTGACTGGTCTCGTCTCCGCCCCCTCCTGTAATAAAGACCGCTTACTGCGGCTCTCGCTCTCCTTGTGCAGGGTGACTGGTCTTGTCTCCACCCCCTCCTGTAATAAAGACCGCTCACTGCTGCTCTCTCCTTGTGCAGGGTGACTGGCCTCATCTCTGCCACCTATTGTAGCAAAGACCGATCACTGCTTCTCTCTCCTTATGCAGAGTGACTGGTCTCGTCTCCGCCCCTCATGTAATAAAGACCGTTCACTGCTGCTCTCTCTCCTTGTGAACAAGCACCTAACCCATCACATTCTAAAATAATTCATCCCCACTCAGCTACCTCCTCAAGTATCATTTCCCCCTCCTCTTTTAGATTGTAAGCCCTCAGGGGCAGGGCCTCCTTACCATCTTGTCTTGAATTGTATTATGATTGTAATGTCTTCCTTTTATTGTAAAGCGCTGCACAAACTGTTGGCGCTATATAAATACTATGTAATAATAATAATACATGCAGGGGGAAGCCAAACTGCAAGGGTTACGTTATCACATGCCCTGAGTCCTTCTTTAAAGACGCCAGAAGCTTCTCTTGTGCCCTTGTAGATGAAGATGCCATTTATAAAAGACACAGGGAGGTCTATACAACGTTTATACCGAGAGCCAACTACACTGGCAGCTTAGAAGTAAAGCCCCATCCGGCTATCTGTTCAGTATGACCTTGTCCTGCACACAGACGCACATTATCATCTCAGGCAGAATCCAGGTCTCCCGTCGCAGGCCCTCAGGGAGTTTGGAAATAGTCCTCTTTTATAAACAGTCTGTAGGTTTCCTCAGTAATCCTAACCGCAGAGAGGGGGGGGAAACTTGACGAATCCTGCAGAGCTGGGGAATCCTTAAATGGCCATATTAAAACAAGACACTTCTGTCTGATGACTGAATCATCTACCTTGTTAGGACGCGTCTGGAGCAAAGAATCCTCCTTCCAGTGCCAATTAGGACCTTAAAGGAGAACAACACCTACTTGTTTTTGAATCGTGAGCTCGCAGCTGGATGGGAGCTGTATTGTTTGCAATGGCTAAATTAAAGAAGAAGAAAAATGACCCTTGAAGGGGGGCTACCCTCACACTACTAGGGTTAGGTGCTCATATTGTCTAGGGCAGGGGTAGCAAACCTCCGGCCCTCCAGCTGTGGTGAAACTACAAATCCCATGATGCATCTCTTTGGGAGTCATGTCTGAGAATCTTGCAATGCCTCATGGGATTTGTAGTTCCACCACAGCTGGAGGGCCGGAGGTTTGCTACCCCCGGTCTAGGGGCTGGAATTGAACAGATTTACTTATCTGATCACAGCTGCCTCCAGGCTGCTAGTCCGGTTCCTGCAGCCTCTTCTCTCCCGGGCTCCGGCAGTGTAAGGATCTCCGACGACATCACATCTTGTATAGGTCTACTGACCAGCATTGGACGTGGGGACGCCAAGGAACCGGAGGAGAGGGGGGCATAGAGGTGAGCGCTGATTGCCACGGAACTGAGGATCAGGTGAGTACAACAGCTTTATATGAGCCCCCTAGACAAAACGAGTATTTAACCCTTGAAATGGGGCTATACCCAAGAATCCCTTGGGTATTTTTTTAATCAAAGCTGCAAATTTCCAAAGACTAAAAACAACAATGAGATTTTAGTGTCTGGGTTTTGATCTACTTTAAAGCTGAACTTCATGATAAGCAAATGTTGTCTAATTACAAGAGTCGCGTATATATTCTTACTAGGATCTTGGTGTGATTTGTGTATTTCTTCCAGATCTGTGCAGTAATCCAGTGGGAGCTTCCTGTAATAAAGACCGCTCACTGCTGCTCTCTCCTTGTGCAGAGTGACTGGTCTGGTCTCCGCCCCCCCCTGTAATAAAGACCAGTCACTGCTATTCTCTTTCCTTTTGCAGGGTGACTGGTCTTGTCTCTGCCCCCTCCTGTAATAAAGACCAGTCACTGCTGTTCTCTCTCCTTGTGCAGGGTGACTGGTCTTGTCTCTGCCCCCTCCTGTAATAATGACCGCTCACTGCTGCGCTCTCTCCTTGTGCAAGGTGACTAGTCTGCTCTCCGCCACTTCCAGTAGTTTTCTGCAGGCAACCTGTAGTAAGTGGAGCCTGCTAGGTCCCTGCCACAGCTTTGCTCTCTGCACAGGCTGAGGATGTCACTGTGCTCCACAAGTTAATAACTGGGCTTGCAAAGGTATTTGTTGCACACAAAGTGAACTTATATCTTTGGTTGTTAAATATATATAAATTAACATTTTTGTGTCCGGAGATCAGCTTTAACTCTACTCCAATGGAAACAACACTTCCTGCTTCTAAAAAATAAAAAAATCAGTTTATTCTACAAATGCTGACATTCCGCTAAACTGCGGGGATTCTTTTCCGCATGCCAAGGAGAGAGAGCGAGCGCATCTTGACCCCGGTTTCTCACTCTCTCCCCCATGAGTTGTTAGCCTCTGACAAAAGGGTCAGAGCTATTTTTAACAGCTGCAAATGACAAAAAACAAAGTCAGATCTCCTCCTTCCATTTGCTCCGTGACTTTCCAACATCTGCTAAAACTCTTCCTGAGGAAGAGGTCTGAGGGTAATTGGCAGCCAGTCAGTGAGCGATGCCATGCGTCTACATGTGCAGGCTCATTTCCCAATTAAACAAAACAAAACAAAAAATGAACAAAAAACACTTGACAACAAAAACAAAAGGGCAGCATCGAGAAGCCGGGAGAAGGGCAGAGTGTGAAAGGTCTGGGCTTTGTGTCGGAGAAAGGTAGAATGACAAAGGGAGGGGAACCGGCGTAGGCCAATAGGAAAGCAGCAAATGGAATTCACCTCTTCAGCTCGACAGACAAAAATCAGACTTTTGTTTCTGTTAAAGGGACATTGGCATTTTTTATTTTTTAGGATTCACAAATACATTAGATTTCAAAGGCTATGAAACAGCCAAGCTAGCGGCTACATGTTTATAGATCTTATAAGAATATTATTTTATATAAAACATCCTTTGCTTTGCTTGCAGCTGCTGCTGCTGCTTCCCTCACATTTCCCTGGACACTACGTTACCCTTTTTCAGCAGCCCCGCTTGGGGTATTCAACTACAAATCCCAGCATGCACTGCTGTACCTGAAAGTGCTCATAAATCTCAGTTGGACAAAGTGGGGTAAAAGAGCGGGATGAAGCGTAGTGACGTGTGGCCCTTGAAATGTTACTACACATCATTGTAGCTTATGGGGGAAGCTTTAGGGGGTTGCCTAGGGGTAGGAAGCTGTGGTCGAACTACAAATCCCATGATGCATTGCAAGACTGACAGGCACAGGCATGACTCCAGGAGGCAGAGAAAATTATGGGAATTGTAGTTCCACCCCAGCTGGATCGTCAAGGTTTCCCCACACTTGGCTCTACCCCTAGAGGTAACAAGCATTTAACCCTTGCAATGCAAGGGGGGTGGGGGTGTTACCAAAAGGGTTTCTATTTCTTCTAAAACCAGAGTTCAGCTTTACGTACAGGGAAGAGCCCGACACCCCTGGAGCTACATTTGTCAGGTTCGCTGAAGCAGTCATCAGGAGCCAGGCTTTTCCCCAGCTTGACATATAATAGGCCTTTCATAGCTCCTGGCCACAGGAAGGGTGGGCAACTCCGACCCTCCAGCTGTACTTTAACTACAAATCCCAATATGCATGTACGCATGTACACACAGGAAAAGGACAAGCACGTGTGCCTCGACAGCAGCCGGCTAGCTGAAGGAGACACCCGCAAATAAGCAGGGGCACCAGCTGCAAGAGGAGTTAAAATACAACTACAAGAATGCTCAAATAAGGCAAGTGTACATGTACCTTTTTTTGCGATACACGACGCGCGGCTGTTTTAGCCGCAATCATGTTTGGAAGCACTGGCGGAATCGCGGCGGGAGGCCGCGCGATCCGCCCGGCGCGACTGGAGTGCCATTAGAAAATAATGGCACCCACAGCGCGATTGGTGCACACCCAGGCGGCTCCTGACCGCGCGTCAATCCACGCAGAATTGTGCACGATTGCCGCACAGTGAGGTGTCGCCTAGGTGTGCACCGGCCCTCAGATTGTAAGCTCTGACGGGCAGGGCCCTCCTTTCTATCTGGTCTTCATTTGCATTATAACTGCAATGTCCTGCTTATATAGTAAAGTGCTGTGCAGACTGTTGGCTCTGTATAAATCCTGTATAATAATAATGATGATAATGATGATGATATCACTAAGAAAATTGAGCTATGGATGATCCTGGAGTTCAGCTTTAACCTTGCAGAAGAGAACAAGCAACGTGCAACTGCATGTGTTCCTAGTTCTCAGACCCGCTGCCAATCAGAAAAATTAGTATGGGCTTCTAAGCTTAAAAAAAACAAAAACAGCTCTGATCACAAGAGGGTTAAAACAACCCAATTCAATACTTAGCTTAACGCTCATCTGAGAGCAGCATTGCGTATCTGTACATAAATCTGGAGGATTCAGAGAAAACCCTGAAATGGTGAATATAAATAATAGAAGTGTGAGTATCTGTACGGTGAAGAAAGGATTGGAAGCTGGAAAGTCATTTCCCCCCGGGGGAATACCTGTTGGTGCTGGCCTTTCGTGATAAGGTTCCACTCGGAGAGGCGGGTGGGGTCTGGTAAATGTAATTGTAGTCGGAGTTCTTCAGATCGTGTATCACCTGTTGAGCAGAAAACAAAAAAAAGAGGACTGGATCATTTCTCAGGATCAGGAGCCAGTATGGGGTGGCCAGGTGCTGCCAGCTTATTGAAATCACAAGCCATATCAATAGACAGACAGAAAACGCAAGTTATGGGTGGACATTAAAAGGCCGGTGCACACAACATTATATTTTACTTATAGCTGGAGACCCTGGATTCCTAAGCTCACCACAACACATGTTACAATCTGGTTGTACAATCTCCCTTGGATCCAACAGCTATGTAGTGCAAGAGCCTGTCCAATTGGATACAAATGAATTGGATAAGTTCAGGTAGGTCCTTATATTACAAAGTATTGGTAAATCTAAAAGGTGATTGTGCAAAGATTGCATGGTGACCCTTACATATATGGGACAATCAAACAGCAAGATCCCCATCACAATTCCCAACTTGGAGTTCTGGGAGCCCCCTCCACCTTCATGTGTTTCCTCCTAATACAATCCATTATGTAAAATAAAAAAAATCCAGCTGGCATGTAAAGAAACCCCCATAATAGGCAGACCTGGTGTGCAGACCCGGGAACTTATGGCAGGGATGGTGGGAGCCCCTCATAATGGGCACAGCAGGTGTAGAGACACTAGAGAACTCCTCACAGGGATGGTGGGAACCCCTCATAATGGGTGCAACATGTGTGTGCAAATCCGGCAACTCGGTGCAGGGATTGTGGAGCCCCTCATAATAGGCGCACCCGATCTGCAGACCAGGAACTCAGATGAGGGATGGTGGCAATCCCTCCTCATAATGGGCGCAGTAGGTGTGCAGACCTGGGAACTCTGCGCAGGGATGGTGGGAGCCGCTCATAATGGGCGCAGCAAGTGTGCAAACCTGGCAACTCTGTGCAGGCACAGTGGAGCCCCTCATAATGGGCGCAGCAGGTGTACAGACCCAGGAACTCCGCACAGGGATGGTGGGAACCCCTAATGGGCACAGTGGGTGTGCAGACCTGGGAACTTCGCACAGGGATGGTGGGAGCTCCTCATAATGGGCACAGCAGGTGTACAGACCCGGGAACTCCAAGCAGAGATCTCCCCAAAAGATAATAAATGGTCAGGTGTTTAAACTATCCAACATCTACTAAAAATGAAAATATGATTTTTGGGTGGAATGACCCTTTAAACCCCATAACTTCCCTTCAAATTTTGTTAGGTATTTATTGCGGTTTCTGAAGGAGACAGCCATTAACTCTGAAGGTGAGGGAACATTAAATCTTGAGTTATCACTGGAACCGGAATTTAGGGGGGGGGATCTTCCAATGGGAACACTTGTTGCAGTTACAGCTAAAGGTCACTTTCCTCACTTTGGAGAGATTTCCCTTTTACTTCCTGTTGCATATACAGGACAGGAAGTAAAGGGAAAACAAAAACCCCGACAGAGGTTTTAACCCTTCTCTACTCCATACAAAAGTTAAAAAAAAGGTTTTGGTTTAGATACAATGTCTAGCAATTCCATCCACATCACCTAAAATAGAAGTTTACTGGGAACTTGGGAACCCTGACCGAGGGTATCTTATGTCTGTGGAAAATACTCGGAGACATTTGCAGATTACACATGGCTAGGAAGCAGATCAGCGGAAGGAAGCGGGGCAGAGTTCACTCTCCAACAATGCAAAGCAGACCTCTGCATGCTCCCTGGACACAACAAGAGATACAGCCGCCAACGTCATCATCATGATTACACTTCCATTACAGTGCTTAGTAAATACAGATCTGATTAAGAACATCCAGATTAAAGCAGACCTGTTATGTAAGACCTATTAAACTGACTAGAGCCCAGAAAAGCAAGCACCTCAAGGCACCTTTTACATCCAAACGATGTCCGTTCTGTTGCCCCTAAAGCCCCCCTCCCCTCTACTGCACATCCGTAATTATGCTCCGCCATTCAGCCAAGCATGTCCAGCAAATGCAAGACTCTCTCTACTTTAGAGGTAACACACACACACGTCAAAAATTCCACCAGACGGCATGACCAGACAATAGCCTTGCAATTTATGTTTAAATTTTTTTTTTCATCACATAGGGGGCCAAGAAGCTCCTTATGTAATAGCCAATTTACATGACAGGTCCTCTTTATGGAGACATCAGGGGTCTCCAAGACCCCTGTCACCTGGGGACCCCCAGAGAAGATGATGCAGAGATCTGCTTCACCAGCTTCTGTAAATGGGAATGACAGCTGAATGCAGGAGTGATGTAATATACATCACTTCCTGCATTCGGGGACGGATAGGAGATCAGAGGGAGATAGTGTACCAGCTCCCATCACAGAGCAGCCACACGGGACACAGCGGATCTCGAGACTGACAGCGGCGGCTGAGGGGGTAAAACCGCCGCTAATACAATCGATCAGGTGTCTCTAGAGAAGTCCGATCATTTGAATGTAAAGCTCGTGGCCGGCCGTTTAATTACAATAGCCGGCCGGGAAGCTACTTGTCCGGCTCCGACGTCCTCGTCACAGATGAGAGGATGAGTTATATATCCATATCCCAAAGGGGACACGACAAAACACCTATTAACTCAGAGTGTCCCATTGCAGACTGTGACCTCCTGTACCGCTGACACTTGTACCTGGTTATGGAGCTCCGACCACACTGGTTATGGAGCTCCGACCGCACTGGTTATGGAGCTCCGACCGCACTGGTTATGGAGCTCCGACCGCACTGGTTATGGAGCTATGACCGCACTGGTTATGGAGCTATGACCGCACTGGTTATGGAGCTATGACCTCACTGGTTAGAGGATCCTTCATTCTTGAACTGTCCATGAAAACCATACCCACCTGTTCACTCAGTGGAGGAAGTTTATTTGGTTCGGCTGTCAGATTGATCAGGTCTTCTAAGATGGTCTGTAAGTGAGTGATTTCTCCCAGCATCCCGATTTCTTCATTCTATTAGAATACAGGATGGGTTAAAAGGGTATTTCCATTTTTGCAGTCAAATTTGAAAAAACCCCACTAAAGGTTTGCAATGTGTTCCTATTCACACAGCAGATCTAAAATCATTAAAAAAAATGTCTTCCCTTTCCAGTAGTTTCTATGTAGAAGGTTCATGCATAGGACTCTATGGGCAGCTTCTATTGATTAGAATAGGTGGCAATGTGCAGATAAGGCACAGACTGAGGCACTGCGCAAGGACATACAATGCACAACCCAAGCCTGGAGATCTTTAACCCTTTGTTAGGACAGACAGTGTGCTCATATAGTTTACAACTGATAATGAAGATTTGGGATGTGTGTGGGCTCAATGTAAACAGTTTGTCAGAGCCTGCGCAAAACTGTCAGTGATATATTCCTCTCTTGGCCTAATGCTGAGGCAGGGGCCTTGCCCCACTGTTACGTGTAGCTGCCAATAGGGAATGCCCCGGCCGCAGCTAATTCGGCCAGGTGGAGGATGCGTCACTGACGGCTTTGCATGGGCGAGCTTGTTTCGCACCATGGCCAAACACATCTCTAATGAAGATCTGCCAGCTCAATGCAGACCGGGTTAATTATGGTAAATATTAGGGCTGCAACTAATGATTATACTCATAACCGATTAGTTGTCCGATTATTTTTTTCGATCATATAAAAAAAAATGAATAAATACCATCCTTAAATTTAAAAAATAAATAAATACACCATGTTAAAAACAAAAAAATAAAAATAAATAAATGCCGTGTTACAACAGTTTACTTCAGAATCAAACTGCATGCACAACTTTTTGCAATCGCACTGCACTGGAACACAAGGCATTGTGGTACCATGCGCTCCCATGTGGGTGATCACACTGTGGGTGGGAGATGCGTTTGGGGAGACTTTCACATGAATTCTGCTGCGGGAGGGGCAACGCACCTCCCGGAGCAGAATTTGTCAAGCCGAAAACCATCTTTTATGAAAAAAAAAATAAAAAATTTAAATTGTATTGTAAGCACATGGCGATTGAATAGCTTCAGCCAGGGAAAGACGCTGCCAGTGGCAAGATTCCGCAGACGGCAGCTGAATGTAAATACAGCAGGTAGTGGGCGGCTGCAATAACCAGCCTGCTATTGGCCATTTCAAATTAAAGTAGCAGGCTGGCTATTGGACCCGTCCACTGCTTGCTGTGCCCTCCTCCCAGCGTGGAAGAGTTAGGGGATTCAACCAACTAATCGATAAGAATAGTTGATAACTATTCTGATTATTGATCAATTAGTTGGTTGCAGCCCTAGTAAACATTACACCCCAGCCCCCCCTCCTAACAATTCACAAAAGGGGACAACTTGGTAAGATTGGTAAAAGCTTGATAGGTTATAATGTTAACTACTTGTCATGTGCTGTTAATGTTCTTTGATCCTGGATGTTTTGATCTATTCTATACTGAACGCATATGAACACTAGCTGCATTAAAGGACACTGTGCAGTCTTTTAAAAAATCCTGCCCGCACTTTTATGCAGTTTTTAATAAATATTAAAGTTAGTGTTATTTTTAAGTCATGTGTCCATATTTCTAATACATGCAATGTACAAAATGGAGACGGAAAATGAAAAGAAAACACATGTAAAATGCTCCTTGTGCTGCGTTACATGTAACACAAAACATTAAAAGTGGGCCAGAAACACATCATGCATGTTGGGAAAAACACACGTGAGTTTTCTAATGTGATGGTGTGAATGGGCCCCAAGTAAAGTAGACTCTTCCTAACAGAGTCAGAGAGGGGTTCTAATCCTTCACCACTCTAACCAAAAGATTTCGGCTTGACATATAAGTGTTTAAAGATGAAAAGTGGAGAATGCGGGCAGACATGACTTACCAGGACGGGCCTCAAGAAGGACACAAACATACAGAAGCGGCCTCGTTCCTCTATCAGTGCTCTGGACACGGCTCTCTTCTCGGTTTCTTCCAGAAGTGCGTACTTGTCACTCATATCCTGCAGAGCGCTATCCAGCTGCAGGCGCACATCGTCTTTACCTGTGTGACAACAGAGGTGCGTTACAGGCCGACATCCCACATAGGTTCAGCTGCTGACACTCATAATACATATGGCGGCACAAATCCCGTACAAGCAGGCAACCAAGGTTCGTCAAAGGAGAGGGCAGCAATGGCCGCCTTCGCGTCTCTCTGAAAAGGTTTCTGTTAAAAGGAGAACTATGACATGAGTGCTTTTCACTCACCTCATAGTTCTAGCCGACCTGTGACAATGAGACTGTCACAGGTCGGCTCAGTAGATCGGGAGGTGAGCGAACACATACCGGGTTCGCTCGCCTCTCGATCCTGTCACGGCTCTCTGCCGAGACAGGGGGAGGGGCTGGATTCCCCTCTCCCCGCTCCGATCTGCCATCGCTGACTGGCGGAACGGACGGGGGAGGGGGCGGGTACAGCTGGCTCTGCCTCTAGATAGGCAGAGCCAGCTGTCACTCACGCAGCTGGGCGGATCACGTCATCTACGTCGGGATCCGCTCCGGCGTCTCAGTATACTGCGAGCTGTAGCTCGCGGTATACTGAGCTTAGAGTAACGGGAGGACGCTAGTTTGTGTCCTCCCGTTACCCTAAGGAGAACTATGGAGAAAAACACTGACCCCATAGTTCTCCTTTAAAGGATATCTAAAACTCCCGTCATACAGTGGAGGAGTAAAGGAATCCATACACATCTTGAATTTTGTCCGATTCCTGCTGAATCAGCTGATACTGGAGCCGTGGGTGGCTCTGTTGACATACACATGTAGGATTTCTCTCATTACCCGGTTCTATCGTCCACACTACCCAGCGTGTGGAGGAATAAGCGTGGCCGGCTACTGTATTCAGACAGCTGCAGCTCTCGGAACACCTAAAGAGTGACTGCATCTGACCGGATGCAGTTGCTGTTCAGCCAACAATTTTCCACCCCGTTCCTTTGGTTTTCCAATCAACATTTTTCTGAGCCGGGTGGAAAGTTGTTGGCCGCACAGCAGCTGCATCTTGTCAGATGCAGTGACTGTTTGGGTATTCAGAAAGCTGCGGGTGTCAAAGCTGTCTGAGCACAACAGCTGTCATTGCAGATTTCTCTATCCACCGTTGATGGGGGGAATCAAGGGATCTCCTCTTGTTCAGCTGAATGAGAGAAACCTACATGGCCACGCACGGCTCGAACATTTAGCTGATTCACCCTAGTTGTCATCCTAGGACAGGAAGCGTGATATCTGCAGGACTACTGGGTGAAGCTAGTGGGGAAAGGACTGATCATCTGCAATAAATTACAAGTTTTGTTTTAGGATTTAGGTACACTTTAACAGGGCAGAGTGGATAACCGTGACGTCCCAGCAACCGGTCAGCTTTCTTTATTCCGATTGCTGCACCGTAACTGGTTGTCGGCAAACCTCATCCCCTTGTGCTGACATAAAACCCCGGCACAATTCTGGAAAAGTCACTTGTGGCAGCTAAAGAATCCGATGGGAACAAATGGCTGGAATGACAAACCTCGGCCCAGGCCCGACACAGCTGATACGCAGCAGTTGTTGTCCTGTCATGTGCACTCGGGCCTGACAGCGCGTGGTAACCAAAGGCCGGGAACATTTTCTCCTTGATGATGATAGATATATCTATCTATCTATATACACATATACACACACATATCTATCTATCAAGTACTAGAAAGAAAAAATACAACTGTGTATAAAGAAAGTTTTCAGCCCCTTGCACATAACAGACCTTCATTCTGTCTCAGACTGATCCAATGCAAAGTCGGATCAGAACGGAAATGGATGCTACATATCTGCCATCTGTGTCCGTTCTGATTCTTTCTCCATCTTGTAATGGAGGAAAGAGGACCTGTCTTGGGTCCTTGCCAGTATCCAGTCAGATCCGCAAAGCAGACCTGGGAGCAAACTTCTTGCGTTCGGTCAGAGGAACAATGGACCTGGTGCAAACTTCTTGCGTTCGGTCAGAGGAACAATGGACCTGGTGCAAACTTCTTGCGTTCGGTCAGAGGAACCCCAATGAACCCGGTGCAAACTTCTTGCGTTCGGTCAGAGGAACAATGGACCTGGTGCAAACTTCTTGCGTTCGGTCAGAGGAACCCCAATGAACCCGGTGCAAACTTCTTGCGTTCCGTCAGAGGAACCCCAATGGACCTGGATGTAAAACGGACGCATATCCACCTACAGTGGAACATTGCCGTCCATTTATGATCTGTCTAATCACGGGTCAAAAATTAACTGACGAACGCCCGTGTGAAAGGGGCCTTATAGGGGTGTAAAATGCAGCTGGCGATTGACAAGTGATAATCCGGCTATGCACGGGGCAACTTTATGGCAATTTGAACCACTTTCCATCACTATGTAATCAAAATCCTGAGCGACTGAACAGGAAATTGAGAGGTTTTGATCGATGGTAAGAAGATGGGATCAAACGTGAGGGAAAAATCTGGTTGCTTTCAGCAAAAATTTTTCTCATTCCGGCCTTTTTCTTTAATAACCTGAATTGGAGTGTCAATTAATAGTTGCCACGTGTACGGCCAGCTTTAGGGACAGGTGACCACTATTGGGAGGAAAGTGTGTTTAGAATGAAATTCGCATTCCTTTTTCCACAATATATGAGGGAATCCCAGATCCACAAATTACTTCCCAAACAGCCGAAACCTGAGAGCAAAGAACTAAGAATAGAATCAGACATCACGTATCCTCATTTTGTGTTTGGAAATTGTATAAAAGTCTCCTCTCATCGCCCGGCCAGCATAAATATTTGTCACAAAGCGAACGCTCGCAATGTTTTTCTATTACACAGCCTTCGGCCATTAGCAACCGCTGGAAATTCTGATGTGACAGGCTTGTCTGGAGCTGCCGAGATTTGGGGAAAGCGGATTCAACGCTTAAAGGGAACGCATGCTAATACATGCCCACATGCAGGACGGGAATGATAAATCGCTGACGGAGAGATTATCTTTAGTTATAAAGTTTATGAACGAGTAAAGAATTTCCTTTCTTTTCCAATCGAGAGTCATTTATTGGACTGATTTATGAAGGGGCCAAAATAATTATATGAAGATGTTCAATGCAAAGTACATTTTGCACCTGAGTTTGCGTTCACGCTGCCAGAGGCAGCAATGTGACAACACGGTGCCAGAGGAAGTGGTGGCAATGTGACAACACGGTGCCAGAGGAAGTGGTGGCAATGTGACAACACGTGCCAGAGGAAATCATGGATATGCGACAACAGTGCCAGAGGAAATCATGGAACTCATAGAAATCTGACAACATTGTGCCTCCGCTGCATTGAAATCTCAAGCAGTGTAGTAAGTCCCATCTGAGTTGTCCCCTGCTGGACTACAGTACCCTCACTTCTCTTCTTTATAACATAAAGGGGAGGGGTGTTATGTAGTCCAGCAGGAGAATACTGGGCACTGCTTGGGATTTCAATGCAGCAGAGGCTTTGTTGCCAGCACACTACAGAAAGTTAGGAGCTCATGTGGATTCCTGGCAGGATCAACAAGTATTTACTGAACTCGCAGCACTGTCAGAGACAAAATATGGGGAGATGTGCTTGTATTGTAAAGATGTACTGAACATATTTTAATACATTTTGGCCAGATAGACTCTAAAAAGGCCCAAACACCGCATGCAAAGGCCAGCGAGACCCAATGCCTGACAAAGCAAATGTGTATGCTTCTACCTTTCAGCATGGTTGTAGTGTGCATAGTGGAGTGCATTCCTCTTTTCCAATTCAGACCTTTTACAGCATGCATATGAAGGATGAATGAACAATGAAATGCAAGTGTGTGTGTGTGTGTGTGTGTGTGTGTGTGTGTGTGTGTGTGTGTGTGTGTGTGTACAGCGCAAATCATAATGACCGCTCTGTTAAGGACTGCGGTAGTGGACTTATTATTATACCGAATACCGAACTTCCGCTGAAGAAATAACATGCAAACCTGATCATTCCAATGACCCCCCTCTACATGTGGAGTGTACCAGAACCACCCTGAAGATAAGGAAGCCATGTCCATATATCTTTATTCGGATCATACAGGTCCAGGTGAAACTCATCACTGAAAGTGAAAGTAAATCCCAAATTTTGGTCACCAGAACAGGAGTAGATGGGAAATCCTCCTATGGGGACCCTAGTTCTGGTGACACTGCTGACCACTAGGGTTTCCCTCAATTTGAAGGGATTCTCTTTCACTTCCTCTTGTGGCTTATTAGACAGGAAGTGAAGGGAAATCTCCCCAATAGTACACAAATGGCTACTTTTTTTTTTTTTTACCTGGTAGCATAAGTACCTGCTCTGTCTTAGTATTAGCTTCACATAATCACCAGGTTCTGAGTAAGGACAAGCCTGTGCTGCAAGTTAACCTTAAAGTGAATCTCTGAGGACAGGCCATAATAGAACTTCAAGTGCTTTACTTCTTGCACACATGGAGTGCAGGTGGCTTCTATTATGGACTTTATCTGACATGGCACCATCCGTGTTGTCACTTCAAGCACCAACCTTTCATCCAAGGTCTGTACGCTGTATGGAGTGCAAGTGATTGCGTATTATCTCTGCGGACAGAGACACGGAAGCTGCCATTGCCCGCTGCAAACTTCAGGGCTGCCATGCAGATCTTGCATCACAGCCTGATGTGGAAGAGGCATCTGAAAAAGCCAAGACACCCATTCTGCATGCGTCTTACAGGTCAGTTACTGATTAAGAAGTGCAGTTGGGATCAAGGTGACACCCTTGAGGACTGTACCTAAAAAAAAAAAAAAACAGCAAATGGAAGCCTCCCTACATCTGCCTTCAACCCTTTTTTTTTTTATAGCTTGCTGCTGTGACAAAGTCCCCTGCGTGATAAACCACCAGAAGCGTGTTATGTTGCCAGAACAAAGTACTGCTGGGTGACACATTCCCCATTGAGAATTCCCCATGTGTACAGTAGAAAAGAAAAGGGTTCCGAGATCAGATTTGTCTAGAACATGTATAGGTTTCATGTCCTGAACAGTTTCTCCTGAGCAGTCAGT